CCGTATACGGTCGTAATTTCGACGGATACGGCCGTTCACGTCATCGTAAACGACTGTGTACGGCCGTTTACGGGCACAGTAATGTTCGACCTGGGTAGTTTTCTGCCTGTATATATTTTTTCTTTACATTCATGTAACTTCATTTTATCTTTGACTGACAAAGTCAACAGTAGTTGACGAAGTGTTTCTAAATAAAATTATGATATATTCGGTAGTAATTTCTTTATTATTTATTATTAAATGCATTTACCGAAAAATAAATGACAATCATTCATGAAGTAAAGCCTTTACTTTCAGCAGATACACCAGTTTTTTATTGTAGCATTAAGATACTAGAACAGTTCAGTTGTCGACTAATACTCCATAGAACAGGTATCAATGCTTGATTTTCATCAGTTATTCGATACTCTGTAATATAAACAGTCAATCGATTGTCTTTCATTGTATATAAAATACTTTCACTAGTAACAGTGTTGCATCTAGGTTTCAGTTTTCGAGTGGACGATTGAAATTTTTGAAGGGGCTGTTGTTCAAAAATTTTTTTGTTATATAGCAAACATATACCGAGATTTTTATTTATTTTTTTCATATATACCATTACGCTACTTCTGTTACCAATACAATATGAGAATACACATTGAGAAGAAAACACCTTGAGAATAAAAATATTGAGAGGAAAACAATAATCTATATTAAACCGAAATTTTTCGTAATTTTTTACTTTTCCAACAATCAATAATTAAATTTTTTATATCATTACCTAAATCAGCTGGTCCTTTTATTGATATTCTCATTGGTTGTTCCAAATGTTCTGCTGTTAAGTGATTTCGTAAACCATTTAATATTCTATTCATTGTACTAAAATCACGCTCCACGGTTGCTGTACTAATTGGTGCACATAAAAATATTTCAGCAGCTAGTGATAATTGTGGGTACATGGTTCGTATCATTCCTTTTTTAACTAAATTGATACACTGTTGTCGTTGTGTTAAATTTGAAGATGTTTGTTGTTTTTGTGCAAATAAATATTTGCGAAATACTTTCCATTCAGTCAGTAAGTCATCATTAAAATCAATAGGATATTGTTGTTTAATCGTATTAATCTCCTGTATACCATATTCTGATTCATTAGTTACTTCCGATACATCAAATATACGAAAACAATTGAGTAATTTTAATACGTTTGATTTAAATCGAGCGCTTATGTTTGATATAATTTTATCAATAAATTTGACTATTTTATCATTAAATAGTTGTTCTAAATTAATTTCATTTGTTGTTGAACGAGTTATACGATTACGATTATGATTATTATATGATGATGTATTTATTTTATCAACAGTTTCAAATATTTGTTTATATTCAGTAATATTGATATCTTTCAATTCTTCTAATCGTAATAATGTTCCAAGCAATGACTGTTCGAGTTGATTAAAATCACCATTTTTTGTTTGTATGGACTTCGATAATATTGAAACTGTTTCAAGAATTGGTTCTGAAATATGCAATATGAATGCTGTTGATTGATCTTTTAAAATTGAAAGTAAACCAGATGCATTTGGACTTTCTTCGCCTCTTTCATTAGCTATATGTTCTAATGTTATCATTAATGCTGCATAACAATGAATAATAGCATTAATACAACGAAAATATGATAACCATCGTGTATCACCGGGTTGAATTAATTTTAATTGTGGATGATTTAATAATGTTTGAATATCATTAAAACGTGACAATCTAATTGATGATCGATTAATAAAGTTAAATAATGACTTCAATGTCATTAGACTTTCTTGTATCTCAGGAATATCTTCACATGCTGATAATAAACATAGCTGTAACAAATGTCCGCAACAATGTATATATAATATTGAATTTGAATATATCTGACGAAACTTTGCTGATACACCATTAAATTCTCCACTAAGGGTGTGGGTGTGGGTGTGGGTGGGGGGTGGGGGGTGTGGGTGGGGGTGCGGGTGGGGGGGGGGGTGGTCGTCGGCGTGGGTGGGGGTGGGGGGGGGGGCGCGG